AGAGAGAGAGAGAGAGAGAGAGAGAGGGAGGAAGAGAGAAAGAAAGAAAGAAATAAAGAGAGACAGACAGAAAGTAAAAGAGAGAATATTTCAACCTTTTCATCTTCGTTCAACCAATTTCCCCTCAAAATTAATTCATTATCACAATCTAATTCTTTGCCGTCAACTGAGATTGTGGGCTTCAAATTGTCTAGAATAGTTGACAACATGAAGTAAATACAAAAGAGAAACTATTAACACTATCCGTACGTCCTGGGGTCATTTTGTACCCCCGGGGTTGTATTCTTCACGTTTTAGAATACTTCTAGTACGAAGAAGATCTCTTTGAAACTTTCAGTATTTCTCAAAAAATCATTTTGACCGACTTCTTTGCAAAGCGTACGGATCGGATTAACGAGTAAATTTCCTCTTTGGAAAGTGGTGGCACAGAGTTCCACACGTCGTATGGATATGATAGTAAAACACGAGGTACGGAGGGGGTTGAATTAGCCCGAATAGAATTGGACTTTTCACCATTTGTGAGGCATTGTGGTGAAATCAGGCGTTAGTCAAAATAATGAAATCGATGAAACCGATATTTTTTCTTCCGTTGGGCACATGGAAGAGGACGATAAGGGGAGAAAAAAAGTGGAAGGGGGGCGGGGGGGCGCTAAAACACATGTTATGTTCATTTAAAAATACATAGTTCAGTAAAATGCACACAAAAATGTTAAACTTAAATAGAAATAGAAGGAGGAAAAGCTTAAAAAACAACTTAGACAAAAAATTGCCCTCTAGGGTCTATTCAAATTCTTCGATTTAAATAATATTCTGACGACGAGAGCCTGATTTCACCGCGACGCCACGCAAATTTTCCCTCTTCTATTCTATAATCGCTTCCTCTTTCCTTCCTCGCCACCCCAACAATAAACAATAATATCGCGCTGCTGTATGGAACAGCACTCCCCATTCCCCTCGTTCGGACGAGAGAAGAGTAAGAACAATATTCATGACATTTTTGTCCCTAAACTGTCATCATAATTTGATTTCGTTTCTTTTCCTCTTTTCTCTTTTGCACGATTTCTCTCCTGGATGGAGTGCATTATTACTGCTTTAAGCGTGAGACAGAATCCGGGGGTGTGGGG